ACGAAATCGGCTGGTGCCGGTTCTACCTTTTTTGGGGGAAACAACCGCAAACAGAGAGGCTACCGGATCTCGTGAAAATACTACCGCCTGGTTTGCCTCCTGGGCTAATGATATAACGATGAATGGCCGTCGTATTTCGGGATAGCTGGGAGGAAAACGTGGGATTTAGGAATATACTGGTAGATTTTTTTTTTTCATGGACACGAATATAACAACACGAATGGAAGTTGTACGAAATGTACGAAACTGATATACGTCCATCTCGAATATGCGAGGATAAATTTCGAATAGATAAATTGTCTGGGGAGTGAAACACGAAACATAGGGAGCTAATTAAATTTGGTTTTGAATGTTGTTTAACTTTACATAGTTGCGCGCGGAATTTTGAAACGGAGAAGGAAACGAAGAGGATACATTACACGATTTCGTGGTGAGATGTGATGCATTTGGGACCGTGGAGGAGACCGAGATTTTTCCTTCGTATTCAATCTTTGTGATTGTCGATGAATGTGTACGTTTCTCATTTAACTGACGAGGTTATCGGGAATCAGAAGGAAAGCATCGTGAAACGATACGTAATATTTTCGAGTTAGTTGAAACGGGGGATCGATTCACTGAGGAAGAACTCTCGCGATACGAGGACGACATTTTTTCCCTCGGCAATCAAAAAATCTTTGCCGATGTTCAAATCTTCGACATCGCGTCCCCTATATCACGTCCTATCGTAGCGATCCGTGATTTTGTCTGATTCTATTGGATCCTTATTTCTTTCGGCTTGGAAATATTCTACTTTTTCCACATCTTTTTTCTTCCATCCTTTATCGTCTTTCGATTCAGAAGATTTCGTTATTCCAATATTTTCTTTTTTTCTTTGTTTCGAAAACTTCTTCTCGCATGTTTTACACGAAACTTTCGTTTTCCATTAATGCAACGCGTCAGTTGTTGTAAGGTATATAAGAACGTGATTTAATATATACTTCAATATTTTGCATATTTCCCGGATATATTTGTTGGATATTGTTCACACGTTTTAATTACGAAAGAATCCGCAGCCTGATAATTACTTTAATTCTATTACAAGTTTCAAAGCGTACTATCAAAAACTGAGTTAAAATTTAATTAACGAAAACAACATTTAACGAAAAGTTTGGTAAACTAATTAAAGCGCGAAGAAACATTTAATCGATCTCTCGCGGCATCCGCTCAAACTACCGCCACAATAAACGACCGAATCGAATTACACGGTGAACGCAATCGATGGAGGGTAAAGTGTCCTCGAGTGTTCTCAAGAAGATTTTGCATTTCAAATTAACTATGGCCAATGAGTATTCACGGGGAATATAACACGGGGGTGTGTTATACGCTCAATGGCCGGAATCAAATGATATTCCAGATTATAGGCGGCCGATCGATTCGATAAATCCTTTGGTCCGTCAACGCCTACGCCCGTATACCTATAATGCGAATCGCGATCTATTGACTCGCGTACGCATAATAGTCCTCTCAGGCTAATGCGTGCACCGCGGTGCATCACAACACCAACGTCTTAGGATAATCTACGTCAAGCCGCAGGATCGGCGCAGCTGCAATAGACGTGCGGCTTTACCCATTGTTTTACCACGAAATAACGATCGATAATTAATTGAGCGTGCGATAATAAGGCAAAATATCGCCATCCACGGTTTGATAAATTGTTCGCTTTTCATATAAATAATAGCCACAGAGAAAAAGTGGATTTTCCTTGTACGCAAGCGTATATCGAAATTCGCGCGGAAAATTTACAAAAAGATATCTTTATCAAAGAAAATTCATTACATGATATTTTCAAAACTTCGTTACCAGATTAATATTTATCAATCGATCGCTAATAATAATAATTCGTTCGAACAAAATTTTACGAAATGCAGAAATTCCTGAGATATCCATCAGTGAGAATCCTCATAAACGGAGAAACCTCGATGTTAATTATTTGCCACCCGAACCCAACAAGAACAAACTTTTCTCGCAACGCGGACACGGGAAAAGAAGAAGGAATCGATCTACGAATCGCGTGCACAGCTCCGCGTGTCTCCTCGAAAGAACGAAACCCGAGACCCGAGATCGTTTCGCCTACCAATATGGAGGACATTAGCCGTAAAGGGGGAGGGAGAGGGGCAAGTTTTTCGCGCCCCTTTAAAGACGGTTGACCGGCCCCGATCACCAGTATGCGACTTTTATTGCTAATGCAATCCGTGTCGTCAGATCACAGGCACAACGATGAAACGTTGCGGTCTCCTTGGTCGACCAAGAAAGCGTCGATGTCGAGAGGGGGGAGAGGCTGGTACACGTACACGGAAAATATGAAGAGGCAGAACGAAGAGAGAGTCGATTATCCGTCGGCGCGCGTGGTGAAACGTGATCGAACGATCGAGGAGTGAGGGGAGGGGGGAGGGGGAGCTTCTACCACGCGGATGGTAGTTTTATGCAAGGGACGATCGTTAATCAATCACGGGGGTCCGTGAGTCGAGTCTGTGGGCCGGGTGTCACGACCGGAAGGGCGGGAGTGATCGAAGGAGAAGAGAGAGGGGAGGGGAGGGGGGGAGTAGGGACGATAAATATTGTTTTTGCCACGATCCTTGGGACGTCCGCGGAGCGGCCAGCTCTCTGAGGGCGAGCTCGAGGGGGGAGGGGGGGAGGGAAAAGAAAAAAAAGTTTCGAAGTTGTTGGAACCTGTTTCGTGGAAGACCGTTTTTACGCCCCCGCTTTCGTGCTTTCGTTTTATTTCTTTGGCCGCCTTTGACTTTGGCTTGATCTCGAAAGTTGGTGAGCACCGTTGACACGAGATCGGTTTCGAATTATCGCGTGATCGCGTTATTTATTCGCGAAAGTGAGAGATGAAGGGAGGAAGATGCGCGTTTTACGAAGCATTCGGGAAGCATCGAGGCGTGAATACGTGTTACGTGTAGTTGGCATATTGTTGCGATAATGTTGAGGGTAAATGAGGATAAAATTAATAGGTGGTTATGCAAATTGTTGGAAAATATGTTAATCGATGTAAGATAAGATACAAAATTATCCTCGTGCTTGTACGTTATTACGAGGATTCACCTATTTAAAACGAATGGCCGGAAGTTAATTCAGTTGTTAATATTTGTGTTACTTAGAGAGGAATAAGAATATCTTAAATATATAATTTTCTTTTTTTATACGAGGGGATAATAATTCGAGAGTAAAAGATAGCTTTGCCAAAAATCAACGAGGGGTATATATATATTTATATATATATATATATATATAAAGTGGAATAATTTTTAAACTTTGCCTCTGGAATTTAATTTAGCTATAGTCCCCCTTGTAAAAACTACATATTCTGTTATTTGAAATATTAGTCCATTGTTTCGGTCCATTGTTTTTTATCATTGTAAAAATTCCGTTTACATCAAATATTATTTTACTGCTTCGTATTAATTGGTTAATTAAGGGAATTAATTTAAAAGTAGATTTAAAAAAAAAAACGTCATTTCTCTTCTCGTCGATTCAATAAATCGAAAACTTTATTTACGAATTGAAATCGTTGTTGCACTACTTTTTACCAATTATAAATCCGATTATCGATATTTTTAACAATAGATCGAACATTTGTATTTATTAATAATCATAAGCCCGAACGGTACGAGTTTCATTTATTATCGGACCCAACGTTCTTTGATAATCGTTAACCCGTCAATAATTCATCACTTCAATTTTGACATTTCTCAATAATGAATACAAATTCCATAAATACACTATATCCCATTTTATTTAATGCACAAATAATTTCCCCTTTAAACACAATAATTAATCATACAATTCTACGTACACATTTTATTATTATTTCTTCTCCATCCCGATTCCCAAGTGTCACGTTTCAATACTTCGATACAAAATAAAACGCACGCGAAATTACGAAACGACGGTAAAACGCAACAAAATAATCACGATAACCGGCACGATCTTAACCGATTCGAGATACGGATAGATCCACAAATCACCCCCGCCGACAGACGGAATGCGCAAACAAGACGACATTGCGAAACCGTGCGGGCCGTGGTTAATCGTGCGCTTTTCCCGCGGCCGGATCCGCAGGCGTAACGCGGCTCGGATCGGTTATCGATCAAAGGGAAGTCGAGACAGGGCCGAACAACGATTGCCCCCCGGGCCAATTCGCAGCCAAGGCGTGGTCTTTTCTCTACGTCCGTTAATCTCCTGCAACCGCTCTAATCGCGGCAATTCGCGTCCAATACGATCGTATCGGGCTGCCACGCAATGCTCGCGGGAGCGCAAGAGTCCGGTAGTGACCGATAGAACCGGCTAATCGTTCACGAATACTAATTACACACCTCTAATCACCGATTCCGCGAAACGGCGCGTCGATCGTGCCCGACACGCCTCATTCGATAATTCCCTCTGCTGCCGCTCCGTTCGACTCCATTTTCCGGGCAAGGGGTAAAGTAACGTTTTGATAGTTTTCTTCTTGAAAAGTAAGACGATGAATTGGGGGATTAATAGATAAATGGTGGATAAGAAAGTTTTATACGTTTTCTTTTATATATTGTTTGATCTCTTGGAACGTTTCTCGCTTCTTAAAATTCTATCTTTTTTTTTAAATTTCATTGTATTCATAATATATTCACAAGTTTAAGAGTATCGCATAATTTGTCCCGCGTAAATATTTTCTTCAAGGTAGGTCGAGAGCATTTTTCTCTCTTCTTTTTCTTTTTTCTTTTTTCTTTTTACAGCCTTTAAAAAATTATGATACAGTGTTTATTGTTCTGTCCCGGGCAATTAATTTACGACAAGATTTTTTTTTTTGTAGTAAAAATGAGAGGTCGTCGCGTTAACGAAGATTATTTTTCCTTGTTCAAAGTCTCTCAACCCGAAAAGCGGGTTCATTATTGATACGCCTCGCCATTTTGTCGACGCCTTAATGCCCCTCCACTCTTTAATGACGGCGTTAATAAGGATGGTGCTGCGCTACTTACGTGCTAAAGGACGCGACGAGGACGGAGGTAAACTGGTACACGGACTTAATTACTCGTTGTCGGGGAGAAAAAGTGATAATCGGTGCTGCTTACTCACCTGTAACAGAAAAGGAGGGGAAAAAAAAAGTTCGGTTATTAATTGATTTATCGAGTGAACATTAAAGAGAAAATGTTAAAAAGGGGGCCGTGGTTTATAAGGACGTTTTATAAGGAAACGGGCGGAATAATTGAAAAGAAGGAACGAAGGAAAGCCTCTCTCGATGGCACTTAAGCCGCTGTTCCTTTTTTTGGCCGAGACGGCCTCGCGAATATCGCTTGGAGGAGGCTTGATTAAAAACGTGATCGTGAAAATTTGGTACACGATTATTTATCGACGTTTATTAAGCAATTTGATGGAAGATAGGAAATTGGCGGAGGGATATTTAACAGAGATTTGATTGACACGGGTCGTTAATGTAATACATTAGAGCAAATTGAATTACCTTCTTTGCTTTTAATTATTCAAAATAACGAGTATCGATAATTTCATTAATAAAACTTAATAATGATATTATTATTTTTTCCTTTCCCGGTTCGGTCAATACTCTTTCCTCTTAATTAACTCGAGGAAAGGGAAAAAATTCATTTTAAAAAATAATAACAATAAAAAAAATTGTTCAACGTATATGGAGTAAGGCCCGTTCTCGTTTGCGTTATCGCGAAGGAAAGAAGGACTAATTATGACGCACGGTTTTTAACTGGAGGCAGAGAATGGAGGCGTACTCTCATTCAAATTAGCCGAGCTGCATAAACGAGGCGGCCAAGTGGCGTGGACGCGATATCCTATCGCGGATGAGCTTAATAGCGTTAATATTAACTAAGCAAACGAGCGAATGGAGTCATATCAGCACGCACGTGTGTATCGTTGGAACGTGCGTTCTATCGTTGAAGTTTGCACGTTGGAAGGCGTACACAACCGTTCAACTTCCCTCCGTTATAATTGTAACAAATATTACCCGTTCAACGCAATAAGCTGCTAGTTCAACGTTTTATCTAGCTAATTGATAATCGAGAACAACCTTTCGATTTGGTTAAACGATCGATGACAAGTCGAATTCAATGAAAAGCGATCAAATATTCTTGACTTTTTGAAATAAACATTTGATATCGATAACATTCGATATGAAATTCCAACAATTCAAATAAAAATTATTTTATTTCTAAAAAATGCAATTCTTCCTAGGAATCGATTAATTAAATAAGAAAAAGAAATTATAATTTGAGAGAAGAAGAATTAAACTTATAACAAAAAAGAAAGAGAGAGAGAGAGAGAGAATAAATTCATTACTTATGCAGTGTGTAGATTCATGAATATTCAACTTGAACAACCTTGAAAAAGAAACAACCTAGAAACATTGAGAAGATTCTACGAAAATAATTACTTCCGTTGTTTTCTCGTTACTTCTAGAATCGTTTTGATTCGAGATCAAGACACACAAGCAAAATCTAATTAATTATTCCAGTTTAATGGACATGAACGTTGAAAAACAGCGTTCATACGTTCACAATGCGTCGGATAGAAATTTCAAAAGGAAATCTCGTTTCACCCGGGTATACCCGTTTGCATATCGCGTCAACGTTCGCTCCTTTGTTTCTTTTGGCGGATTATAAGGTAGGGGAATTTTATTAGCCGACAAGGACAGCGGCGCCGATCCTGGAATGCGACAAAAAAGGATTCGATTCTTTAACGAATTCTCGGGACAATTAACGGCTCATGGTTGACTCCATTCCGGAATGATCGTTGTAATGGTCTCATCAAACTATCGTTTCGAATATCGTTCCTCCGAAATTAACTTAATCTAAATATCCGTGCGGCCGTTCCACGGGAGTTGATAACGCGATCGAAAAAGAAAAAAAAAAAAAAAAAAAAAAAAAAAAAAAAAAGAAAAAAATCCCTCCTCGCGAGCGAAAACCTGTCCAATTTTCAAGTAATGTGATTTCAAGAACAACCGAATCGAGCGCGAAACGGCGCGGAGGAATCCGGTGTAACCGGTTCTTAATAAAAATGAAATCAAATTTTACAGCTTCGATCTCCACCCCTCCTCTCCCCGATTCGCTACTCCCAACGAGTACGATCTTAAATTTCCAATCTGAAACTTTTGCAACAACACGCCTCCTCCATAAAAGAGGATAGGAACGAAACCGCATGTACGTATTCCCCTTGGAAATAGGCCGGTTCTTCCCGTAACGATTGCGTAAATCGGCAATTTCCTATTTCGCGCTTCTCCAACGTTAAAGTCGTTCGTAAACACAGGTTCTGTGTCGAAAGATCGAGGGGAGGGGGCGAATCATCTGGATGGTGCTCGGATGCCCGTTTAAAGGGAGAAGAAAAAAAAAGAAAAGAAAAAAGAAATCGATGGAGAGAGAGAAAGAGAGAAGGATATCGTAAATCGGCGAAGGATAATCCTGATAGGGCGCGTTGGCAACCAAAGTGGCGACGATTCAAAAATCGTAAAAGAGGAGGAGGGGTCGGAATCGCGAAACGATTGGTGGAGGGAAAGTTTCGAAAGCGGGATCCCGACGATTTTTATTCGACGGCCCGTTCCTAATTGGACGGGACCGTGGTGGCTGCTACCTTTCGCTAATTTATTTATCGACAGAACGACGGGCCGACGCGCTTTCTGAGCCTCTCCTTCGCAGCTGGCCAATTTAATCCGCAGTTACGTGCTTCCCTTTCAACCGGGGATTAATCCTCCGGTCGGTGATGCTTGTTATTCTGACGATATTGTTTCACCGTTTTTTGCACGGTATTTTTCTCTCTCTCTCTTCGTTTTTGTTTTCTCGTTTGGTTACTACTACGGAACATAACCGTGAACTTTTGCGNAACGCGTGTCCAAGCATTGCAAACGTTTAAAATATAACGAAAACGTATACCTNNNTTTTTTTTTTTTCATCTAAGATCGATTTCTAATACATTGCTCCTGTTTTGTGTATAAAATAAATTGGTAATATCTTTCAACTTCAGATGGATTCCACGAGGACGATTCCATTCTTCGATTCCTATTCCTATATATCTATTAAAAGCTGTCCTTCATTCTCTTAATCTCGCACGCGAAAAAGAAACGCGAGGGAAGAAGAAAGGAAAGGAAAAAGAACGGCATCCTTAATGGGAAATTTGTGTTTAATCCGTGTGTTGACAAGGGAGGGATTCCCATAACGTCCCACCGATGATCCACCATTTCCACGGACGAACTTCTCCTTCTTCGGCACGATGAAATTCAATCCGCAACCGGAGGATTCTCTCTCGTTAGGGATTACGCCTTTCGCTCCTTAAAATCCTGCCTGGCCGGCCCCGTATTGTCCCGCCGTAATAAGGTATTTTAATTGGTGGTTGTTATTATGTTCACCAGCCGGCCTGGATCCTGCCTCTCTTCGGGCTACCATCGACATAATCCGAGAACGGGAAGAAGCGCGGACAAAAAAGAGAATCGAGAGATAGAAGAAGAAGAACAAGAAGAAGAAGAAGAAATCAGAGACGACCATCTCTCTCTCTCTCTCTCTCTCTCTCTCTGACTGTTGCGTCCTTCAGGAAACAAAAACGGAGAGACGGCGACCGGGAGAAGAATGAAAAGGGAAATGGAACAAAGTTCGCTAGCTCGAGGAAAGAGGTAGAGAGAATGAAAGAGTGTAGAGGCCTCGGCCATACCATAATGCTCGCTACCATATACAACATGGCGCGGAGAGGAAAGACGGCATCGGTTCGTACGTCGGTGACCAAGGGTCAACCAGATACCGAGCGGGCTCTGTGTTTCGAATGCCTCGCGCCCGATTAATTGCACGCTGGCCAAGATTTATCGGGCGGGAGAGAGCGCACGACTGAAACGGTATTCCGGCGCTCGTTCTTTGCAGCGGTAATTGCCCGGTACCGATTACTAATTGCTCGTACTCTCGGCCCACGGTGCCGGTTGACCGATTTGGGGAGCGCGGCCGCGATGAAAATGCCAGGAAACGAGGCATGTGACGACCGACACGGTGAAAGTATTTCGTTGCGGATCGACAACAGGTTGGCCCGTCGAATCTTTGCAGAATCTTTGCAGCGAGAACTCGATGAGATGTTTTGAATTGAATTGAAATTGAAATTCAGCCACGGTGGTGAACGGTTTTTGTTAACGTCGTGCTCCGCCTTCCTTTTTCGCGAGGGCAATAAATGAAAACTCTTCGTGTCGTTGAAGAATCGAGAGTGAAAAATTCTCGCGCGGTGGTCATTTGTAAATAATGAAACGCGTTTCGAAATTGAAGCCCTCAGACGGCTGGAACTTTCGGAAAATGAAGTTGGAAAGCCACAATGTATAAGTACCCCTGCAAGGGCGCATATTTGAGTAGCCATTAACGGCTTTGGCCGTGGTTGCTTGTCAGTCGATAAAAGTTTTCATCTCGTCTCTCTTTCTCGCTGTCTCCGCCTCTCTCTCTCTCTCTCCTTCTTATTACCTTTCTCCTCGTCCCTCGCAGGCATCTTTCTTCCTCGTGTCCTCTCGTTCCACTCGTCATCCTCTTCCTCTTTCCCGCCCGTTTCCATCTCGCATTCTCGCCCCATCTTCATCGGTTCGAAAATTCACCAACGCGAAACTCCAAACGACGGACCGTGTCCTCGCCTATATACCAGGATTTCCACTCCTGTGATAGAGACGGCGGCGTGAATGTCGGTGCGTTAATAGACTTGAGCTTAACTTCTCCGCTAATGGCCACCACGGTCAAATTTGATATCCATTAAGCATAATGAGATAATAAAGTCGCCGAATGATCGTTGTTGAATTAATGGTTAAAATAAGAACGCTCGAGAAGTAACTTGAAATCAATCGACAAGCAACACGTGAAAAATTATATGTCACAGTCGACAATTCTTAATTCGCAAATTTTTTTTAGAAATTTTCAACCGTTGTTGTGAAAACATATTTCCTCGTATTCCTCTTTCGTTCCACGATAACTAGTGCCTTAAGAATTGGAAGCTGCGTTAAATGGCTGCTTTCCTTCGACTGTCTCTTCTCTTTGTCTCTGTTCTTTGGTTAATAAATTATATCAAGCTGTTTATCAGCAGTTGTTAATATTTATTCAGATCCA